ACGAGAAAGTAGATATTCAGTGTGCACACCGTTTTGGCAGCAGCGTCCCCCCCCCCTCACTACCGTTTCCTGGTTAGACAGAGGTCAGCTTGGCTTTCCTCTCCACACGGACAGAAAACAAATGGTCAACCATCGCAAAAACACTTGTTGAAACAGTGATGTTGTCCAAAAAAAAAAAAAATTTGAAGTTTGAAGAAAAGTCTTAGACAAAAAAATACAGAATTTTTATAAATCAGGAGAATTAATTTTCTGTAAGTTTTTATCAACTGCAAATTGACTGGATGCACAAAGATATAAGCATCAAACTGGCATGAGCCCCAGTCATTCCTGCAAATATGAAAGCTAAACTGAAAATTAATGGGCTTTTGGTTTATTTTCTAAAATTAGATTTTTTTTTTGTTGTTGTTTCTTCTTTAAAGATATAGAGAAAAATTTTCATATACCTCGTAAAAGCACCCAATGTTCTGGTGAACCTCAGCATCTTTTTATATTTTTAAAAGTTGAATAATTGTAAATACGGAAACTCTTTGGCTATTGATTTCTTGAATTATTTTAAATTCACTCCACATTTATACACTTTTTGAGTCGATGAATATGGTTAAAATGTAAAAGGTGGAATTTTTTAGAAAAAATAAAAACGGTAAAGGGAGAGTTTGAGGGTAAAGGGCATTTCCTGGGCTCTTTTGTTAAGTTTTACATTTATGGCATAAAAATTCCTAAATATGCTCAAATGTACGTGTTTAATTCTAGGTCTTAAACGTTTGGTCATTCATTGTTTGCTTTTAAAAGGTGCTGTGGGATTAACTTGTTCCATGATTTGTAGTTCTGGTTAAGTTGCGTTATTAGGCTGTTGCAGCACTAATTTCCATGGTGCAAGGAGGTAAAATATTAACCCCAAACATTCAGATTTGCCTGTAAAGTTTAAATGTTCTGCACCTAAGATGGCTTATTGTATATCTAGTTGGTTTATCTTTATATTCTCGTCTGCTTCTCTTTTGCACTAAGAACGCACAAAATTCACCCAACCCTGACGGCGTCAGGGACGGTCTGCAAATGGTTCAGTTTATTATTTCATACCAAGACCAGAAGATGCTTCTTGATCCTCTGAGCTCTTTTCTGTTTACCTTCTTACATTTTAACTGATCTCTAGATCAAAGAAAAACGTATTTTCCCTTCTGGAGCTGCAGAAACGCTTTCCTGTTGAGAATCTCTGAGTCGTAACGGAGAAAACGTTACAGTTCGATCATCTGAAGATCAAAGTCTGTCGATTAGAAGATATTAGTTCAGTGGAATGTCGACTCCAGAACAGCAGAGCATTTCTTAAAGCTTGAAACTAACAATCATTCAAGTTGTAATCTCTTTATAAGACTTGTGGAAAACATTTTCTTACTTTCCTCTGTGTACTTACACAGATTTTAGGAGAACAAAGTGATTCAGTTGCATTCTGCCTTCGGAGGCACTCTGGATTAATCTTGGAACTCGGCTTAATATCAGTTTAGAAGATTAAAACCTGGAGCTTTTAGTCACCCTCTTCACCTCCCAGCTAATCCTTCTGCTTTTCTTCTCCACCCCATTCCAGGAGCAGCAGCGGCTGACCAGCAGACGACAGACGGAGCAGCAGCAGCAGCTCTTCCAGCTGCGCTCCATAAAGGCTTCCATCAGACAACAGGAAGAGAAGACCAAGAGCAAACAGATGCAGCGCAGAGCCAAGCAGGAGGCTCAGAAAGCTCAGCCCAGACGTCTGGGGAAACTAAAGTACTTGATCTTAAACTGATTTTTGCTTTTCACGTTCCCTGGTGCAGAAGCACTTCAAAACCATACAAAAATGAGTCCCACTGCATTGACATGTTGTACATAATGTTCCTCTGAAGCCTAAATATCTCTCCAAAAATGACTTGCCATGCTAGTATACTAAGAGTTTGTCACCGTGTTGTCAACTTGGGTTTGTTTCTACATATGCAGTTTTCCCAGTAATTTAGAGCTTGCCATGTTTCAGTGGGAAGTCTTTGGTAGTCTGTTTACATGTAATGGTAGTTTCCACGTTGTATCTCATATTTGATCTTTTTTCTGACAGATTCCAGGCTCCAGATTTGGACGTGCAGTTAAGTGACGAGCTGGCTGGCTCCCTGAGGCAGCTCAAGGTACTTTTTCTACCAACACTGCTCATTTCTTCATACTCTATCTTGACCTTTCTTCAGGACACTGTTATTCTACGATGAGTTTAGCTTTTTTTCCTTGGTGTATTATCTCCTATCTGTCTTATTCTAAGCTGTGTCCTGATCTGTAATACAATGATGACCCACTTTGTCAGCTGGAACTCTTTCTACTTTTTTCCTGTTATCTTCTGCTGCAATTACTTTGCTGAAACCTTAATCAGCCATTTCCACAAATAAGATTCCAAGATTTTCAGGAAGGAATTGTGCGTACTTGCGACATTGTGACACTGATTTGTTTCTGGACTTTGTTTCACTTCTTGTTATGTCATAACTCTGCAGCCAGAGGGCAGCATCCTAAAGGATCGCTTCAAGAGTTTCCAGAAGAGGAACCTTATTGAACCCAGAGAAAGAGCCAAGTAAGGCCCTTAGCTTCACTTTTGCAGCATTTTCAGCCTTTCGGAGTGTAGATTTAAAAGACGTAAAATACACATCTTCATCTCTTTCAGGTTCAAGAGGAAACTCAAGGTGAAATATGTGGAGAAGAGAGCGTTTAAGGAGATCACATAATCAAAGTTCAATAAAATATGAAAAACGGAAGAATGTATGAGTGTTTTTTGTCTTGCGTGAACATTTCATAACTTTCAGTTAATTTGATCAATTCTGCAGTGTTGCATAATATAAGCCCTTTGAGTACAAAGTTTTCACAATGTTCTTTTAATTCACATCTGTCTGCTTGCAGCTGTTAAGGTTTGCAGCTTTCATCCATTATCCTCCCTGTCATTTCTAGTTTTTGAATCCACAGAGGTTTTATTTCCACACCAAGATTCTTGGTGAGAAAGATGGATACACATTTAGGTTTTTCTTAACAGAAGGTAAACAAATTAAGGAACTTTAAGCTGCAATACATCCACAAAATCTAAAGTTCTTGGATCAGGAATAAACCTATGTTATAAACAAAAACATGTTTTATTGGGATTTTATGTGATGGATCAACACATTGATTTATAATGAGAAGGAAAAGGTTGAGCTACTTTCAAATGTTATTACAACAACAAAAAAATAATCTGAAGTGGACATATGTATCTCACCAGTTTGGTCTAAAACCCATAACTGAGTATTGGTGCAACTGAGTATTTTAATCTCAGCAGAAATCCAGCAAAACCATCGGTGAACAAATATCCTAGGAAAATAAGAAATGTGTGGCAAAACTGCAAACCCACCATCCAATAACTCGATACTTTTCTTATATGCATGTATGTATATATACATCTAAGTTAATGAACTTCAATTAAAGTCTTTACTGGTTTTATTATTTTCTGTAACTAGACAGATGGTTTGTAAAGGTTGGCAGGTGATAATTGGTCCCAACCTGCCAGCTTAAAACCGTAATTGCCTCCAGTGTCCTGATGGTGCCTGGAGCTGTGCCAAAGCTTCTTATCCATTAATCAGAGTAAAAATCTAGTCTTTTTACCTTCGAAGTCCCATAAGCCCCCCAGACAAATGAAGCAGGTTAAAGCACTTGATCTTCTGCCACTCAATAAAGTACATACCCCATATTGGACCTCATCCCATTTTGTGGTTTAGCAGCATTTCTGCACCAATTACCTGCTGACTCATAAAGCTGCAGATTGTCCACAAGGAACTCCAAGCCACGACTTTGACAGGATTTATTGCAGAGTGTTTCCACTGTAGATGGAACCTAAGAGACTGATGAGTAATGTAATATATCAAACAATCTGTAACAGCTAAAGAACTTTAAAATCAAATGCACAATGCCTTGGTTAATTGATTAGTGCCATGTAATGTTTTCCAACCTCTACCTAACACTGCATGGCATCTAAAGCTTTGTGATAAAATCTACTGACTTGTGGAGCACATTACCTGATGGTTGATTAACTATTGTTTTTAAACCCAGTTTCCAGTATTTGGTACTTAAACAGCAAAAACACTAAATCTTACAAAATATTTCACTCTAGTTTCTACTCCAAATGTATTAGTACTCTTGAAATGAGGCAAAACTAACTAAAAGTAACTTTTCAGCAAGATGTATAGGCTTGTCAGTAATTCTTCTCTGTAGATGGGGGGGGGGGGGAGCATT